CATATTTTATTGTGACAGGGCCTTACTGTAGAAGTCACAATGTCAAGTTTCTGGAGTTATTACACATACAAAGTTTATAAGATTGTTATAATTGGGATTTTTCTGATTTGAAGAGTAAAATAGAAGAATGAAGGATGCCATGTCACCTGTTCTGAATTCTGCCCATCAAGAAACCTGAGTAGTTTATTTGTTAGAGATTGAAGAAAACCCAGATTGTTTTACTGGGAAGATGTTGTAATAACAAGATGTAGGTAATAACAAGAGCATTTGTGATGGCTGTGGATAAACTGTTAGTCTCCAAGACTCATAATGAGCTGCTGAGAATATTAGGTTATGTTTTAAAATGCTTTTTTAATTCTGAGATAACAAAGAAGTAAGAGTTTAGAAGATAGCTAACTATCATTTCTACCTAGATACAACACCCATGTTATTCGTTTTGCCAGGAGGGTGGGCTTCTGGAGGGAAAAATCAATAGCAAATTGTTGTGACATGTGGCAGCAGTTTTCTTTACATATCACTGAACCTTACAGAAATAGGCCAGTCTGCAAGGATGAGTGAGACAGAGAGACACAGGTAGCCTGTCCCAGAGCTGAAATATAGAAAATGTTGCCTTTATTATTCATCACACAGAAGTGAAAACTCACATTCAGATTGAATAGACCAAAAAACGTCAAGATTTAAACAGAAATAAAATATTTGCCTGCTTTTGCATAGAGGTATGAATTTTCAGCGCAGCTATCGCGTTGAAAGTTAGTTCGAGGAATAGATGTAACTAGCTGAGAAGTAAAAAGAATGCAGGCCACCGAGAGAGGAGAATAGAGTTAGACTGGTTCTAGGAGAACAAACGGGCTATTTTAGAGACTGAGTAAACTATTACTGTGGTGGAGAATTTTAAGTTTTAAATTTAAATGGTGAAAACTTTTCTGTAGTTTAAAGAAATGGTTGCCAACTGCATACTGTTTAAACAGTATTGCTTTCAATTTACTTGTTACACTTCAAGTATTAAAACTTGAAATTTGTTGTGATCCTTCTAGTCAATCACTGAAACTCAAAAATTTTTTTACAAATTGTCAGTTTACTGGAATTGTAACAGAGTTTTATTTATCTGGTCACTGTTTCAATTCAAGAATTTCATTTACCTCCCTGTAATACAGTCCTGTGTAAAGTTAATGCAGATATTCTGATCATCACTAACTTGATTGGTGATATCAACTTTGAGAGGACCTGGATGATTCTTGAAATTTTTATTCTCAGTGCTTCCCTAAAATGACAAACTGATTTCAATCTCTTGTTGTTATTTATGTTTCGCACACTCACAAAGAACTACATTGCTCTGTGCCAAACATTCCTATGGTTTAATATGAAAAGTCAGATGTGACAATTTGGCCTTAAAGTAGTGAATTGAAAGCAATTAGTGTACCAGATCTGAGAAGCTCAGCAGTAATCCTGCATACCAGTTGACATGGTTGTGTGATTCCCAAAGGGTGCACTCTTTTACAAATTTTGACTGGATGAAAGTTTTTGCATGTTGTACTTAGTTTTAATTATACTGTAAATCAATATCAGTAAGTTACTATTTTCCTTAAACACCACAGAAATTAAGATAATCAGAAAATAAAAAGATTATAATTTTGTGCATTAAATTTCAATAGATATTACCCTTGTTTTACAATCACATACAGGAAAGATTACCAGCCTACAATGCTTAGAATTAATAATCATAAAGTTATCTAGTAATTTGGAAGATTTTGCAATAATTCTTTGAAGGCCATCTGCTGATTTTGCATCATAGATGTAATGCTTTCTTGCAGGGGATAAGGGGTAAATTCTCCATATACTTTCATATTTTACAACAGTGGCAATGTTAAGTCACATAACTAATTTCCCTTAAATTTGATGTGGCTCTGAATTCCATGAGATTGTTGATATTGAAAGAATTGTCTTCCATCACCAGCATTGAAGCTTACAATCAGAAAGATGGCAAAGTTGAGCAAGTTTCATTGCCTCAGCACTTTATAACGTAAAGCTGCGATGCAGTCTTCCATTTGTTGATTTGTACGTGTTTATCTCATCCTGACCACATGTCAGAGTATTGAACCAAACAGAAATCATTGTTGTTTTTTCCAGTGGCATGTTTGTGCATGTGGTAATTCTATTTGTTTAAGTTTCTTGATAAATCAGAGAACTTTAATGATTCATGACTAAGTCCTTCTGTCATAAAACAAAGAACTGCAGATGCTGGAAATTTGAAACAAAAACAGAAATTGCTGGAGAAACTCAGCAGATCTGGCAGCATCTGTGGAGAAAGAAACAGAGGTAAAGGTTTTGTAATACTGTTTCGGGTCCAGCGACCCTTCTGCAGAACCCTTCTGAAAAAGAGTCACTGGACTTGAAATGTTAGCTCTGTTTTCTCTCCACAGGTGCTGCCAGATCTGCTGAGTTTCTCCAACAATTTCTACTTTTGTTTTTCCTTCTATTCTGTTGTTTTACTCTATTCTGTGCACTGTTTATAACCAGACACAACGCTGCAGAATCTGAACTGATATTTCTATCACTGATGTACACAGATACTTAAAACAATGTAATACGTTAAGGCTGATATGGAAATGAATTTCAATCCAGCAGAACCACTTGAAAGTGTTAAGGAGACTTACTCTAATTTCTCATAGGCAGGCTGTGCCACAGACAACTAGCATGAGTTTCTTCACTGGTATCAATGAAGCAACCTTAAGCAAATAAACATTTCACTGAAAATTGCTTGCAATTTCAGTTGGACAAATTCAATGGATGATATTGTACCGAGCCATAAACAGCAGGAAATTTACAATCTCAGGGCTTAGTCATTATTGAGCCACTTAATCTCAGGTGCTATCAAGGTCAGTAAAGTTTAGACAGGAATATCAGCTGGAACATCAGTGTTCATTTCTCCCTATTCTGTAAAGTGCATTTAAATATCCTCTATGGGCAGGATTGGATTTTGACTTGATGCTTCATATGCTAAAGCTATTGAAGGTTATTGCTGTATTTAAGTAACACACCATTCTCAAACCTTTTATCGTTAAGGATACAAAAATGTGGTCCATTCAGCCAGCTGGTGGCCTGGAGCCTTCAAATTCCAACTCTGTGTTGAATATCATAGAATAGATCACAGAATCCCTACAGTGTGGAAGTAGGCCATTCAGCCCATCAAGTCTATACCACCCCTCTGAACAGCATCCCACCCAGATCCACCCTCCTACCCTATCCCTGTAGCCTTGTCCACCTAGTCTGTACATTCCTGGACACTATGGGACAATTTAGCACGGCTAATCCACCTAATGTGCACATCTTTGTACTATGAGAAGAAACCAGTGCACCCAGAGGAAAACCATGCAGACAATGGGAGAAGGTGTAAACTCCACACAGACAGTAGCCTGAGGCTGAAATCGAACCCTGGTCGCTGACACTGTGAGGCAGCAATGCCACCGTGCTACTTCATCTTGTTTTCCGATTTAACAATTGGGCTCATTTAGCAATCCTAATTTAAATCTGATATGACTGAGTCCTATAGTTTTATGCCATTTCTTTAGCATTGACTATAATGAATATTGTTTGGTAATCTTCTTAGTAAACCTTTCTAAATGACAGCATGAGAATGGAAGCGCATATTAAACAAGAGAGGGTGATTTGGTTCTTTGTAATGATGTACAATCTGTCGCAGACACTAATCCACCAATTTAATATTGTAAAGAACAATCTGCAACATTTCTAAACTGATCCCAAAAGTGACTGGTTAGAACTTTAGAATATTTACTTATCCTTGCACTTTTATTATTTATCCATGACTTCTAAACACATTTCCAATTATCTTAGAAAAGAGGAGCCGTGGGCATTTCTGTGGGCATTTTGTCATGTCTGCCTATAATTACCATGTGGTCCTCTATCACATTTCAAATAAATCTTTATCCATCTTATTTTCTTTCAGCATTAATCAGCACATTAAATACTTTTCCTGGGAGACTGTTGCACATATCCTATTCATGACTATATTACTGCTACTCAATATATTAAAAATGCTGGACCAGAATGGCATTCAATCTTTGGTGAATATGCATTAGGCTTTATGACTTAGAAACTCACATTATTGTTCTTCTCTTTTCTAATGCCCATTTGAACTTTTGACAATTATATCTTTGGATTCTTTTAACCCAGATACTCACAAAATTTCCTCTCTCCCCCACCTCCCCAGGGTTTACTCTCTCACTTACGGCAGCAATGCAAATGTAATTGATGTCAACAATAGAAGGAAAGGAAGTGAACATGATCAAATGAGAATACCAGATGTGGGACGCAGGACATGGGTAATTATTTAGATTAGGCTGAACAGCTTAAAAGTGTAATGCATCCTTGAAATTTTTCTCCATCTGTAACCTCACAAACAGTACTAGGAAGATAATGAACAAAAAACTAAAAATCAAAATGAATTTCTCAAAATTAATTCTGTGGAAGAGACACTCTTTAGTATCTCAACTTCATAAAGAAAAGGCACCATGCTACTTCAAAAACTGAAGAACTTAACACAAAAATAGACTAAAATGAAGTTTAAAAGGAAGTTTAGGTTGGGAAAGTAATAATTATGTACAAACTAGATAATGAATGGAAAAGCGTATCACAAGCAAGTCATTAAAAACTGTTTTAAGTCTGTTACTGCTTTATGCTTCTATTAGTCACTTGGAGGAGATATATGCATCTGAAAGCTGCATAGTGCTAATCCAAAAAGCAAGTCAACAATATTCAATGCTTAAATATTATTTTTGTGCTTCTTTAATACTGGCTTAGATCCAAATACTCATGAGACTAAAGAAACAAACTTATTTTTTAAACAGCAGAAAATTGTGAACGTAACAACATGTTGCATAGATTTGTAAAACAGAAGTCATTTAATTATATAGTTTGCATGAAACTGATTTTGCTGATATTTCTACGTAGCTTACACATTTTTAAAATTTAGAAGCAATTACCTTTCCAGGTTCACATTCTGTCCCATCCGCCCATGGCATATGTTGAGTTCTACAGCCTCTCTGAACTCCTTCAATGCTTGTACACCAAAGACGTCTGCATTGTGTCTACAACGAAAGAAAATGCTTTGAAAATCTGATATTGTCAAAGTATTTTCACTGTGCTAAAAAGTAGTTTCACACACATTTAGGATGTCTATTATTTAATGTATAATGGAATTGTTCTCTCAGTAATACAACAGAACTGTTTTCCTCATGATCTTAGTTGCCAAAGAGGGTTTCATCAAACAATAAATATTGAGTTAGATTTTTCATTTGCTAAACTGGAATTGGGAATCAGTTATCTGTTTCATATTCCCTTTGAATCCACCATAGCAGTTTTATAAGAGGTGAAAAGTTGAAAATTCACCCTGTTAGTATATAGCTACCTGACAAACAGCTGACTGAAACAAAATGAAAACAACAAATTCAGTGAAAGTACACATTTATTTCAATTTGAAATTGTTTGTTTTTTCTTGATTATGATGTGATGTGAAGCAATCCAACTTACCGGTGGTTTTGAAATGAATACTTTAGATACGATTAGTCAACTTTCAGAAGAATAATTACTGTGTTCTGTGTCTATCACAGTTGTCAAATATTATTATTGCACTTACCATATAGGGACACACCTGAGAACCAGATCCAAAAATCAATTCACACTGTTTGTCAACATTATAAATCTGACCAGGGAGCTGATGCGGGAGTGTGTATGTTCTTGTCACAGGCTCATCAAGTAAACATTCACCATATCCTGTGCTAAAAAGGCAAAAAGTATGAGAGAAAATCCAGATATTCAAATTTCCATTGCTATAATATAGAATACAAAATCTGAAAACAAAAGAAAATTGTTACTATCCCAATACAATGAAATTTTGGCAAATCTAGTCATCTTTGCTGTCACACTAATCAAACTGAACAATACTAAGAGAGTGAAATTCCTGTCAGCACTTGGGCTGGATGCACTGTTTCATGAAGAACACAATTTTCCTCAGTTTGGAGTTTCACAAAGGTTTTGCCATTGTTGCTGCATACTAATTCCTTGCTTGATATTCTATTTGTGTTTTTCAAAAATGAAACTTTAAATTAAATGATGAGATGTGTATCAGATTTTCCCATTATCACAGCATACAAAACTGTAGTTAAATTCTGTGAGACAATTCTCATCTGAAAAAATTTTGTTTTAAAAATTTTTTTAACAGTGTTTAGGCATCACTGGCTAGGTCAGCATTTGTTGGCCATCCTAACAGCACTAAAATATTCTACCCTATGAGTTAAAGTACCTTACATTCCAAAATTCCTCTATTCACATACGAAATAGCTTTCCAAATAAGTGTAAAAATATAGAAGAAGTAAGGTGACTCTTTTCAGTTGACTTTAACTACGTTCCACTATCTGTCATTAAGTTTCGATAGACCTTCAGTTCCTGGAGCCTTCTGGGCTTGAGAGAAGAGCAGCCGTGAGTATAGGGTTGCAGATGTCGCTAACTGGATAGGCAGGGGAGTTGATATCAGAGAATGTTAGCAGAAAGCAGGACGGAAAGGGAGTGGGAGGGGCTGCTCCAAATTGGTGCCCAGGTCACATGACCACACATCAGATGTGAAATTATGTTAAAATAAAACACCCTGTGCTAAATATGGGCCACCTTAACTGGCCAACATTAAAGTCGAATGACTTCACAGAATCACAGAAAGGTTACCTTGCAGAGGGAGACCATTTGGTCCATTGTGTTAGAACCAGCTGTCCAAATGAGCATCGTAACTCTATGCAATTTTTCTATCTTTTTCCCATGACTTTGCACATTGCTTCCATTTAAATATCCACCCAGGGGCTTCTTGAATGCCTCAATTAAACCAGCCTCCATCACACAATCAGGTAGTGCATTCCAGACCCAAACCATTCATTGTGTGAAAAGGTTTATCTCATATCACATTTGCTTCTACTGCAAATCACTTTAAGTCTATGCCAACTTATTCTTGATCTTTTTATGAGTGAAAGTGGAACAGTTTCTCCCTATCCACAGTATCCAGTCCCCTCATGATTTTGAAAACTTCTTTCAGATATCCTCTTAGCCTTCCTCTCTCCAAGGAGAATAGTTTCAACTTCTCAAATCTATCCTCACAACTGAAGTTTCTCTCCCTGGAACTATTCTTGTAAATCTTTTGTGTACTCTCTCCAATGTGTTCACATCTTTCCTACAGCGGTAAATGATAGGAAATGATAAACAATACTCCTCTTGAAGTCTACAAGTGTTTAGTACAAGTTTATCATTACCTCCTTGCTTTTGGACTCTATTCTTGTCTAATATACACTATACTCGTATACTTGCCAAGATAATTAAAAGCTTTTCCAACAGCAACAGCAAAATGCCCAACAAGAAATTCAGTCCCAGCTCTGTTCAGGGGCAATAGGTGCAGATTCTGCAGGTACCTCCTTCCTCAGAGGCAGTCACAATGCCCCAGGAATCTAAAGCCTCGCCTCCTGTACTATCTATCCAGCCATGCATTCATTTGTTTTATCCGTCCATTTCTGTATTTGTATGAGGTACTGGAATCAATTGGAGATTACTACATTTGAGGTCTTGTTTGTTCATTTTCTACCTGGATCTCTAAATTCAGCTGTAGCACTGCAACCCCTTCCTACCTAAGTCTTGGCAAATTGGCTTAAAACAGTGCAACTTAAAATGGAGACTACTGTACTTAACAGCAGAACAGCCAAATTAAATTAGGACAATTGAGAACTATTTTGCAATCAATGAATTCAAAGCTATCCAGAAACCCACAATGTTGTATATCTGTCTTGCCTGTAAGGCAGGATTCAACTTTAAAAACTACATGCACTCTGTGCGCGCTCAATGTTGCAAAACTCTTCCTGGCAGCTTATTTGCTTTGTGTTTGAAAATTGCGCATACAGAAATCAGCCAGTTGTTATAATGTCTGCGTTATAACTTGTTGTGTGTTTTAAATATACCAATCCACAAGAGTTAATTAATCAGTCATGGAAAACATTGCTGATGAATCCCATCATGCTTGCACAATCAGCGAGCAAGCTAATCTAAAGGGAAATATGTGGACAACAGTATTAAATCATGCTAAAGTGCATGAGACAATCTTTGATATCTTAATTTCTTATAGCGTCAGACAGCATTGAAAACACAGCTTGTTGGTAAGTAGACAGTTTTCAATCGAGAGGCCAGGTTAATGCATTCAAGAAAGGCAAGTGATCGGGGCATGTGCCAGATCAATAGCAAGCAAGGGAAGGTCAATGGCTTGTTTTTTATTCATTGGCGGGATGCGGGCATTGCTGGCTAGGCCAGCATTTATTGCCCATCCCAAATTTCCCACAGGGCAGTTAAGAGTCAAGTCAACCACATTGCTGTGGGTCTGGAGTTACATGTAAGGATGGCATTTTCCTTTCCTAAAGGACATTAGCGAACCAGATGGGTTTTTCCCACAATTGACAATGGATTCATGGTTATCATTAGATTCTCAATTCCAGATATTTATTGAATTCAAATTCCACCATCTGTCACGGTGGGATTTGAACCCAGGTCCCCAGAACATTGTCTGGGTCTCTGGATTAACAGTCCAGTGATAATACCACTAGGCCATCGCCTCCCTGTGGAGGAAAACAACACATTATGCCATACTAGGATGAGCCAGACATCAAACCAGAACCACCGTGAAGAATAGTCTTCAACTGGCACAGGGTCTTCCAGACCCCAGGCTACTGTTCTGGGGACATGGATCCAAATCGAACAATGGCAGCCAGTGAAATTTGAAGTCAGTAAAAATATCGAATAAAAAGCTGGTCTAATGGAAACCACGTAACTGCTGTCAGTTGTCATGAAACCTCCATCTAGTTCACTCATGTGCTTTGGGAAAGAAAATCTACCCTTCTTACCTACTGTGGCCTTCATGTGACTCAGAGCCCTCAGCAATGTGGGTGACTCTTAACTGCCCTCTGGGGAATTAGAAATGGGCACTAAATACTGACCTAACTAGCAAAGCCTACATCCCAAGTGCAAATGAGAAACCATTTCATCACTTACACATGACACAGATCAGACGAGAAGACTCACAAGAGAGTTAGTATATTGGCCAGACACCAGCAGTGATGTTGAAATTCTTGTTAAGAATTGCAAGGAATATCAAGAGCATCTGCAAAGTCAAAGCAAAGAAGTTCTCATACTGCACTTAGACCCTGTCTACCCTTTCTCCAAAAGCACATCTGACCCTTTTCATCTCCACAGAAATGCCTACAGCATCATCATTAGCTACTTCACCAAATACCTCATCATTTGTCATCTACTCATTATGTCAAGCACAACTATTGCACACACTCTAAGCTGTTTTTTGTTTATTTAGTACCTCTAGAGAGATCATTAAAGACAAAGGTATGCAATTTATTGGTAGGCCATTTCCAGGACCGTGAGAGACATTAATCATGTTACTTCTTCTCCAGTGGTCTAGCTGAATGCATATTTCTTACAGTCAGAAATCTAACCCTCAAATGTAGACAGACCAGGCTGGATGTACACATTGCAGTATTGCATTTGAGAGCAACAAATCTGCGGCATCATTCCATCATTGGCAGAGCTCACATGTGGCAGACCACGTATAGCAATTTATCAACTTCTACCTAAAGGACTTGTCTCAATACTGGAGAGAAGCTTGAAAAGCTGCAAAAGAAGATGACCAACATACTGTGTACGATGAAAATGTGGGTACAGGATTAATAAAAGTACAAGATGGGTTACAAGTTCCAATAGAAATGAGAGACAAAATGAGACAACATGAGATCTGGAGTATCAGCAAAGAGAGTTCACCATTATTGTGTGGATTATATGCTGCAACTCTTCTGGCAGCTAGTCTGTTTTTTGTTTGCAAGTTGCACACAGAAAGCTGGTTGCTTTAACATCTATTTCATAGCTGATAATATTCTATACTGTTTAAAACAAACTAACCCATGGAGTTAATCAATTCCTGATGAGTGATGTTATAAGACCATTATCATTGATGTGACAAATAGCACAGTTCAATTTAGACTTAGTATAACAAAATTCTAACATACTCTAAAAAATTAGTAACGTATCTTCTGCTACATTTTGACCACATCCAGGGATTGGTATAATAATTCAATGTAGGGGCCATAACATGCTGCTGATTTTTGCCACCGTCTTCTTTGCACTTATTGCTGTCATCATGAGGCATATTAAACCTAGATAAAAATAAAACAAAATTTGTTAAGCAAGCGTGTCAGCTGGATTCCTTTAAAAATTGATTATAGAGTCATATTCGAGTGCTGTATATTTATCACAATAATGTTGCTCAAAAATTTGAGATCTACTTTGTGTATAATGTAACATATATTGATGTCAACAGTGTTTATGGAATATAATTACATTTCCCGCATTAGTTGTTTCTAATTCAGATTCCAGTATGACTATCTGTGAACAGCATTATGGTGATCTCTGCATGTAGTCATTTACCTATCGTAGCTTTAGCCTATTTATACTCTGCCTCCCACTCTCATGTGCTCCTCCAGCTAGATTTAAAATTGGTCTGGAGTTTGGCCAAACTACATAAACAATACATTGCAATATCAAACAGAGACAATGAACTAAGAGTTGGGTACATACAAATGATGAGCATCTAACAAACAACAGATTGGAGTGTGTTTCAAAAAACTGTTCCAAAGAGTAAATAAAACTTGGAATAAGTAAACTTTTATGCCTACACCTTCCACTTAATTTTGAAGTGGGGACTGTTTACCAATTTATATCACTGTCACATTTGCTCACTGGAATGAGCCCAAGAGTTTTGAACAGAGGACCATTTGATTCAGGTGAACATTTGAGTGAGTGGTGGATAAGGTGGTTGTCAATGGGAAGTCCAAATGATTTTCTCATAGGGCCTTTTTATAACAAAATGTGCAATCTGCCAGCACTCAACGAGACTTACAAGTTGGCAAATCTGGAGGAAGTGGGAGGGTCCTGCAGCTCTTTGTACAGCTAAACTTGCACAAACACCTTTGTGATCAGGGAGGTGAGGGAGCAAAGTGCCCAGCAGCAGTTGAGATGACTTTTTAAATGGAGCCAAGTCAGGTACGTATTTATGCTTTTCCTGTAAGGTTGAAGACATAAATTGCATTGGGACTCTGAATACATCATAGAACATTGATTTAAATAAATGACTTGCTTGATTCAGGTGGGTGTTCTGTCTGCTTAAGTTGAGGCCCTCTCAGAAGCCACATTAAGATTTTTAATCAAATTTGCTCATGCTGAGAACGTAGATATGTGTCAGGAAAATAGGCTCCAGCAATTGTAAAAATAGTTAGATTACTGAAATCTGAAAATGTGCTATCATATTATGAGCAAAATTTCTTCAGGATATAGTTCAATATGTATTTATATTCCAACAGAAATAATATGCAATTGATGTTTTATTTAGAAACTCCTCAATCTGTTCCCCATAACATTAGCCTGTGACATTGACGACATTAAATTTTGGAAAATTTTATAGTCAATTGGTACTTGCTTACACATTAGTAAGAAAATATTTTCAGAAAGCAATCTGCTCCTAACCTCTTCTGATTGAGGACACAACAATTAGCACGGGCTTGGAATTTCAGCAGTTAAATAAAGTAAGATAAGTTTGACAAATGAGTGCAGATTAAAACCAGATGACAGTGTATTTCAGTTTCCCTTTTGATTTTCCCAGCAGAGGCACTGATAAACAGAACAGTTAAGGCAGAAGTGAAACATTGCTTCAGCCCTCAAAAACTGCAGGTGCAATTATTCTAAAACAGAAGCACAAAAACAGTTGGAATGCTTAGCAGGTCAGACGATATCTGTGGTAAAAGAGGTGACAATGGAAATTCGAAGATTGAGATCCTTTCCTTTTGGAAATATTTGCAGTGAATTGAAAACAGGAAAAGAATGAGGGAAATCACAAATACAGGTGAAAAGAAACAATAAGTTTTGATGTTCTTGGATGTAGAACAAGAGGTCGTTAAATGGCTGATGTGATATTGTCAGGAGACAACAGATGATAATAAGAAAAAAAGCTTATAAAAATGGCACAAGGCTTCCAAGTAGATGTCTTCTACCACCTGGAAGAACAAAGGCAGCATTTGGATTGGATCATCACGACCTGCAAATTCCCCTCCAAGTGTCCTGATTTGGAACTATACCATCATTCCTTTATTGTTTCTGGGTCAAAATCCTGGTGGTACTTCTTAACAGCACTGCAGGTGTCCCTTCACCCCAAGGACTACAGTTCATGGACTACCTCCAGGGCAAATAGTAACGGACAATATATGCTAGCCTAGCGAGTGACATCCATAGCACACTAACCTTTAAAATAAGAATTAGGGGCCTTAGCACTCCTTGTGCCTATGCAACAGAAATCAAAATATGTCAGTCAGAATTCCTTCAGCCACTTATGGTACAGTTTGTCCTGACTGTAAAAGTACCAGCACAAGTGTGCCTTAGTATTCCGGAAAGGTGCAGAATGCAGAGATCACCGTGTCAAACAATTTGTGATATTGGAAGTGTAACACAGAACTAAACAGGGCATATGCAAGATCAGAGCTCACAGTCTAAGGATATGGGGTAAAACATGTAAGACTGAGATGAGGGGAAATTTCTTCACCTAGAGAGTGCTGAGCCTGTGGAGGTCAGAAAGCAGTTGAGGCCAAAACATCACATGATTTCAAGGAGTTGGATATAGCACTTGGAGCTAAAGGGATCAAAGGATGTGGGGAAAAGCAGGAGCAGGTTTAAAAGGCCAAATGACACACTCCTGTTCCTATTTTCTTTGTTTCTACAGCATCCTTTCTTAGTGGTTCATAGCTAAACACCTGTTCAATTGCGTGGTGGACCCCCGACTAATTTATTTAAATTCTCTTCAGCCAGTTTTCAGATAAGATGCATTTGACTTTGTTTTGCTGATGCAGAGTTGGTGGAAGAATTGAATTATGCACTTTGTATTTTCAAGGGAATGGTGCTGAATCTTAACAAGAAGGCCTGAGGCAATGGAAGGTTTGTTCAGAAGAAATATTGCTTCTGGACTGGGGGCTGTGCTTGGACCATCACATAACTTAGAAACAGAGTACAGGCGGTAAAGAGGGAAAACTGAGTACAGAGGGGTGAGAAGCAGCAGGGGTCTCAAGATAAGATTCTATTCATTAGGGATCTTCCCAAAGCACTTCATGAACTTCCACCTCTGTTGGCAACAGTTGACAACAGCGTCTCAGTTGGCTGCATTTCACCAAAGAGGTAGCGACTATATTATGTCCCCTCCAAAATTATGACTGCATGGCAGGGGATAGATAATTTCAGTGAGCTGCCATGAATGTAGGTTAAATCATCATTAGTCATCTTTAATAAGAGAGCAGCCCTATGATTTGGTAAGACTATGGAGACTTTGCTTTTCACTTTATATTGTAAATGGGGAAATTCTAGACCATGTATTTATAATCTTTTAACACTGAAGTATCTGCATATATGTGAAATTACATCTGCAAATGAATTACTTGTAAGAATATTTTCAATACATATACTCAGAAAACAATGGCATTAACTGAGATTAAATCCTCGAGTTTATTTAAAATCAATATATCCACTATACTTTTAGAACTGGGAGACAAGAGAAAGGATAGTGTGGTCAGGAGTATATGAGGAATCAGGATTGAATATACATGAATGGGAAGGAGCCTTGGATTTGGTTTGGGGTGATGGCTAAAATAGAGACATACGAGAATCTGACAATTAGATTCCATCTGGAAAGATAAAACAGAAAGGCAACGGAAACAGTAAGGAGTGTTAATGGTGCAGGGCTTGTTGAAAAATCCTTCATATCAAGAGAATGGCCCTGGAACGAGTCAACTGACAAAGAAGTCAGATAGGGACAGCAAGGTGAAGAAGCAGTTGACGAAGCAATTCAAGTATGTGGGTCACAGAAATTAGTTTGGGGAGAGATTCCTCACATGATTAATTTTCTAAGTTGTTCAATAGGTTCAAAGTTTTATTTTTATATTTAAATAATGCATCAAAAAGGGAACTGTCGTAATGGCTATATTTTAGGGAATATTTTTGTTGTAGTGTTACTGTATAGAATTGTTTTGGTAAAATATGTTTGGAGAGAAGATGAAACTGAATGAAAGCTATTTTGCAATCCTGTGTCCTGGGTGACTGACAGGAGGTGAGAAAGGTAATCAATCAGCATTATGACAGCCCCAAGTAAAATGGGAGAAGCCAATAGCAAAAGTTATTACAACTGAAAATGTGATGTATAATACACATCTAAACATAAAGAGAAAATTGTTATAAGTTGTAATATTCTTCTTGAATGGAATTGAGTAAATTAATTCAAACAGCAAAATACATTTAGATCTGTATGCAAAACCATGAGACCAATATAATCATGCACACTATGCATAGCAAAGAAGTTCCACATTTACAGTGGAATTAATATTCAGACTTTGAGTTGTTAGATCACAACATCAATAATATTTAAAATGCCAATGGAAGACTTACACATGCCCAAGCTCATGAGCTATTGTGAAAGCTGTACTTAATCCGTTATCTTCACTAATGGAGCAACTTCGGTAAGGATCACATACGGTACCAAGTTCAGCCAAGCCTGCACAAATTCCAGGCAGAAATAAATATTTGTCAACCTTTCTACATCTTGAAGTTTCATTGATTGTACCAAGTTTAAGTTTAAGAAAGGTAATGATAAAATATACTTGTACAGCTAATTAGATTAAATTTATAGCAGATTTGATATTGTGCTATGATTTGCAATTATCATTGCACAGAAAATTAACTGATTAAAATTACTTTCTAAATTGAAACTACAACCTTGCATTTCTATTATATAGAAAATCAGCCTAGAATATCTTTTTTTCATCTTCCTTCCCTGCACTTGTCAACATTTTCTTGAGTATATTTTCCCCGTAAGGATGCCCATCATCAACTTGCCCAAAAAAACAGTAATCATATGAGTGCCATATTAATTATCATGAGTGGAACACTGGCTTATTGTCCCCTCCATAACTTAAGAGTGCCCCTACTATTTCACCTTCTGAAATCCTCTAATTTGACACAGACTTGGCAGTTTCCCTATTTCCAGAGATCAGCTATTCACCAAATCAGCTTGTTGAATCATTGGAGAGGATCAATCTCAAGACTCTATCAACATGCATAATGCTATAACTTACCCAAAGTGTCACATTTATCACGAGCTCTGCAAATGTCCTGCCTAAAAGAAAACACATTTGATTGAATGCTATTCACTCACATATTAAAGGAGCAACAATTTTATTCTCTTTACACGAAAGCCCTTACTCATTTTATACAAAGTTATGGCATGTCCTAAATTGCTGTCAGTCAATTACAAAAAACAGGAAAGAAAAGGATAAGAAGATGGATTATTTATTACTACAGCTTGTTTAAGTAGCCTGCACAAAATTTAATCCGTCTGCTTCCTCCATAGTTACGAGGACAGTTGTCAAAAATATAATGTTTTTCTTCCACAACAGCCACTTAATGATAAATGTTCAATTCTAATCTTTATTCAGCAGTTTGGGAAATAACAGCTTGTAAAGTGATATCAACAGTACCGATTCTGAAAGAAGACTTATGTTTTTATTTATGGCTTTCAATTTTATGGCAAGTTACTTCAAATGAGGGAATACTGTTTTTGAGAAAATAGACAAATAAAATTATTGAATTATTTTATGTTCTTGCAGATCAGCTTGGAAGAGCCGTGTTATTCCCATTTTCACTTCAGTGGCTTGATAATGCTCAAAGCAATTTAAAATACAGTTTAAACATTCACCATGTTTTCATTAGAAATGCCCAAGACATTTAGAAACAATGCATCAATATTTACAATATCCACCAACAAGTCAATGCTTATTAAGGGAGCTGAAAATGTAGGAAACAAAACTTTCAATATAAACTGTTTATCAAACTTTGCGTCCGAGTTTAATTTGCATAATGTTAGTACCATTTGCGTGTCAGTTTCCTCCAAGCAATACTTCATTTGTAAATTACTACTCAAAGGAACATTGGCCCCTCCCACCCTAGCTGTACTCTCTTCCAATCTCTTCCCTTGGGCAGAAGATACAAAAGTTTTAAACACATGTGCCAACAGGTTCAAGAACAGCTTCTTCCCCGCTGTACTCAGACTTCTAAATAGACCTCTCAAATTTTAAATTTAAATGCTGATCTCGCTCTTTGTGCACCTTCTCTGGAGCCATAACATTGTATTCTTCACTCTATTCTGTTATCCTAATGCACTTTGTGTGGTATGATCTGCCAGCACTACATGCAAAACAAAATTTTTCACTAGGCACATATGACAATAATAAATAAAATCAAACATTAGTGCAGGAGTAAACCATTCATCCCTTGGGCCTACTCTGCCTTACAACTAGATCATAGTTGGTCTTCTAAATAAAAACTGAAAGAACTGCGGATGCTGTAAATCAGGAACAAAAACAAAGTTGCTGGAAAAGCTCAGCAGGTCCGGCAGCATTTGTGAAGGGAAAAACAGAGTTAACGTTTCGGGTCCGGTGACCCTTCTGTTGGTATGAAAGAAAGAGTTACACAGGTAGGGTTCTTCACGAATCTTGAGTTAATGTAAAGGTTATTGGAAGATAAACATGAACACAATTAAAACAATTTTGAAATAAAATCTGGAAATTCACAAGCATAACTTTGTGCTGAAATATGGTCAGATTAAGTATTAAATAGAGTTTTCTCTCTATGGATCCAAACATCCTTTTGACTCAATCTTAGGAGAATGCCCCATCTGTAAGAGAGTGTGAAAATTTCACTATTCACTCTGTTTTTCTCTCAACAGGTGCTGCCAGAACTGTTGAGTTTCTCTTGAACTTTCTGTTTTTGTTTTAGATCACCAGCATCCTCAGTTTTTTGTTTTATGTTTCCTGCAACTTCTTAAGTCACTTCACAAATGAACCATTACTTTAGATAATACAAAAATATTTTGTGGTACCTTGTGATAAGTACAGCTGTATCATGGTGAGAATGATGGTTTTCATCTGGATTATTCTGTTTTTGTTGCCATATACAGAAGTTTTTTAATGTTGTTTGAGCACTAAATGATATAGATGGACCATCCTAAAGATGATGTAAAAATAGTGTCAAATTAATCATTAGTATTTCAGCAGTTCAATCGGATTATGAATATATAGATATCTGTTTAATATGTTACCTGCTCACTATTTATAATAATTAGTTTCACAACCACAATATTGATAAGATTTCCAATACTTGGATCTTTATAGATGGTAGCCACCTACAAAAATTGAAAAAAATGTTAAACATATGGAGGTAACAGTAAACAGAATGAAAGTGGAAAATTCTCAAATGCACTGCTAGTTTGTCATCAACTGTGCATAAAAAAGGAGTTTAACCCTGCAAGTGTATAAACAGAATGAAAGTGTATACACTTGCAGGATTAAACTCCTTTTTTATGCACAGTTGATGACAAACTTGCAGTGCATTTGAGAATTTTCCAGTTTTCATTTTTTTAGTACTTTACAATGTCAGATTACAATGTGTGATATCTTACAACTTCTGAAACCAAGTTACATTTTTAAAAGATGTTGGTCATAAAATATAAAGCAGCAATTTCTACGAGACAATGCCAGAAGGCTGATCTATAGAATAGCCTTAAGCTCACTTAGGCTGAAGGATTGATTGAGCTTGACGTTAAAATAAAGTGTAAGAAGAAGGAAAGAATTATAAAATATAGTATTTTATTATTTAGGCATCGAGGATCAATATGCTTAAGTAGTACGAAGGGCAGTAATTACTGGCCTTTCACAGTGCGTGAAATACTTTGAAATAAAGTGCTTAAGAAACTATCAGCACAACAAAGCACTTGAGAAAATATGAACAGAAATACTTACAATGGACATTAAAGTGAGAACATAATGTTGAAGATTCGCTCCGTGATGTTCGACCATTCTACTGTCAGCAACAACCATAACTTCAACGTACCGAGGGTAAGACAAAAAACGTTTTGTTCTTTTCTGACTTTTTGTTCTGGTGGTACTGTTATCCATGATGGCTAAATTGGATAATGCAATACTGCTCTTGAAGTTATCCAGATCAGACAAAATATTGCTGGATAGTCCTTTATGCCATTTCCTTTTGTTTTTGTTTTGGTTATACTTATGGCCTATGATGCAAAGAGAGGGAGAAAAAGATCCTAAAAATAAACACAACATTTTAACTGATTTCCAACAAAGCACAAAATTCAAAATACTAAAAATATAGTAAATTGACCATAGTCCTACTGGACCACAGGATTGCTGTTTCATTGGAGAGAGAGAGATACAGAACATAGAACAGTACGGCACAGTACAGGCCCTTTGGCCCACGATGTTGTGCTGATCTATTATCCTACTCTAAGATGACTGGTTGTGGTTTACCCTGAGGGTCACCATGCTTCAGGTGAGGGGATAGGGTGAGAAGAAGAATCCTTTATGGTAACCTTAGCCATTAAGGGAATTGAACTCATGCTGTTGGCAACAACTCTATTTTATAAACCAGCCATCCAAGTTAACTGATCCTCTCAACATTCTGAACATTCAGAAGGCTTTAGATAAGGTGCTACACAAAAGGCTAACGTGCAAGGCAAGATTATGTGGGACAAATTACATAGTTGGACTATGTTATCTGGATAAATGATTGGCTCACCAACAGAAACAGAGAATCAGGATAAATTAATATTTTTCTTGTTGACAAACTGTAACTAGTGGCAATGCAACAAGGTTTGATGTTCAGGCCCCAACTATTTCTAACCTATATTAATGACTTAGATGCAGAGATAAAATGTATATAGCCAAATTTATAGAAGACACTAAAATAGGTGGAAAAGTAAGTTGCAATGAAGAAATAAGAAATTTATAAATGGATATGATATGTTAGGTGAATGGGCCAAAATTTGGCAGATGGAGTTGAATGCAGAAAAGTGTGAGATTATCTCCTTTGATCAGAAGAATTTAAAGCCAAGTTATTATTTAAATAGAGAGAAACTTCAAAATGCTTCAAGCAGAGGGACTTTCACATCCTTGTGTATGAGTTGCAGAAAACTTGCATGTAAGTACAGCAGGTAATGAGAAGGACAAATGGTATTTTGGCATTTGTTGCCAAAGGATGCAGTAAAAATTAAATGGGGTTCTGCTTGCTGCAATTGTGCAAGGTATTGATGAAACCGCATCTGGAGTGCTTCATACAGATTTTGTCCCCTTACTTAAGGCAGAATGTTATTGCATAGGAGACAGAAGATTAATTCCAAAGATGAAAGGCTTGTGTCATGAAGAGAGATTGAGAAGTTAAGGCCTATATGCGCTACAGTTTAAAAGAATGAGAGGAGATCCAATTGAGGTATATGAGATGCTAAAGGAGACAAGGTAGACATGGAGCAGATGTCTCCCCTTGTGAGGCAATCTAGAACTAGAGGTCATAGTTTTGGGGTAAGAATTAGAGAATGTATCTGTGGAATTCACTTTTCCATAGTGCAGTGGACCCCAGGAGACTGAATAAATTTAAGGAGGAGATAGACAGATTTTTAGTTAATAACAGGTTAAGGGGTATGGGGGAGTAGGCAGGAAAATGGAGTTGAGGCAGCAATGAGATCACCCATGATCGTAATAAATGGTAGAACAGGCTCAAGAACAAGCTCAATTGCTTCTACTTGTTATGTAAATATGATACAACATGTTTCAGGCAGGGGACAGCTAGTTGAAAGAAATAAAATGTATCATTTTTGTAATATTCACTGCATCCCTGGACAAAAATATTTTCAAGTATAATTTATTATTAATCAATTGTAGGGTATAAATATAATGTATATACTATCCTAAAATATAAACACGAGTTTTGTGCTCCTAAGTATATAGTAATCAATAATGAAAAACCTTTTAATAAGTAAGCTTTCCAATATCATGCATCACAGCCAGATGCATGGTGCCACTGCTCAGGGTAAGTGCATTAGTTGCTTTCCATATTTTGTTTTCAGTCTAACTGCAGCAGCATTTACTGAATTCCTGTGGTATAGTATTGTGACTGACACAAAATAGTGGGGGTATTTTTCAAGTCTGTTGCATGCAAAGTAAGCTTGGGTAGTGGATCAACTATTGTTTGATTGCAGTTTTATCATGGGTGGGCAATCAACTCCATCAGGGTATGGTGTTAAGTGGCAAAATTGAAATCCCGTTCTCTTCTACATACTGAAAATATGATCTTTCAAAAATATAATGTCTATACATATCTCTATAACATTCACTCTTCATCTTTCCTTCAAAAATTCTTACTCAGTTAATTATTTTTTGTTTGCTCTATTTTCTGCGGTAGATGTAGGATACAGGAACTGCATTTATTTATTCCTTCTTCCTCCCTTAATTACAAAATTGACTATAAAACTGACTTTTATCCCCCCTATTATTTTCCGCAGAGGATTTTTAGCTCTTAGCACTATAATTGCTGAAGGATTTCCAAAATGGACCTGTAATCCTTTGAAGGTCCACAAAGGAATTTCAGGGTTTCGGCAAGGTCATCAGACTCTGTCTGCATCTGAGACCAGCTATACCATGCAAAATGGCTCATGAATTCTGAATTCTACCCTGTTCTGTTTTTAATATTTCATCAGGTGTTATTTCAGTTTAGCGTTTTTTTTAGTGTGGGAGCTCCTAGATGCCAGTGTGTTCCAGGGAAAACACATCTGCAGTAAATGATTGCAGCTCAAGCAGCAGCAGCACAGAGTTTATGAGCATGAGGCTTAGCTCCAGATTTTGTGACATATCAGAGATTGGGTACATTTCTTGGACACTTTATTCAAGGTGATGGTCTCACATCCTTAGGATACAGTGTTTGGATTTAGACACTAGTCAGGCAAAGCAGGGTGTGAGTGGGAGTGAGGCAGATGAGGGTCCCCAGAGGGCAGAAGTGCAGGAGCCTTAGCCTTTGCAATTGCCCATCAGGTTTGAGATTATTTCAGCTGGTTTGGGTGAGGTCTGCACAGTGGATGAACTCAATGATCATGGTATTATGGTACAGAAAGCCATTCAAGTAGGGGGAGCAAAAATGAATGTAGTGATATTAGGGGACCGTATAGTAAGGGGGATTGACCCTAATCATTGTAGCAAAGAGAGACAGAGAGTCCAGGAGCTGTGTTGTTTTCCAGTGCCAGGGTTTGGGACAATTGCTCAACGTTAAAGAGGCTTTTATAATGGGAGGGGAAAGTACCTACTGTCATGATCCATGTAGGCACCAATGGCATTAGCGGGGCAAGGAAATAAATTCTGCATAGTCAGTATGAGGAGCTAGGGACCAAATTAAGAAGCAGAACCTCAAAAGTTGTATTATCTGGGCTCATGCAAACTGGCATAGAGCAAATGAGGTTAGAGAAATTAATGCCTGGCTCAAAGACTGATGCCGTATAAATGGCTTCTGGGCTTGTGAGGCACTGACACTAGTGATAAGGAGGGTGGGATTTGTACCATAGGGACATTCTATACCTGAATCATACTGGGACCATTATTCTAGCACACCATGTAACAAGGGAAATACAGAGGGTTCTAAAGTAGACAGTACGAGCACTGGATCAAATTCGAGAAGTGGTGGCAAATCAGAGAGTAGAGACATGTTAAGAGAGCAAGGTGATAAAATAGAAAATGATAAATTTACCCTGTGAGCAAATCTATACATAAGGTTATTTCCTCCCTGGCTTCCTTTAACAGCCGAGGGTACAACTCATGTAGCTTTGGTGGTTTTTCCAACTTCGAGGAGATCAGTCCCTCCAGTACTTCCCATTTCATAATGCTAATTTTATCTAATACTTCACACTATTTTTCCAATCCAATGTCTGTATCAACCCTCTCCTTTGTGAAGACAGACACAAATTACACATTTAGAACCCTGCCCAATCTGTCACATCCACATATGTAATGTCCATTTCTGATTTGCCCAACCTGTTCATTAATCATCCACGTGCTCTTAATGTAGTGATAAAACATCTTTGGATTTTTCTTAATTTTACTGCTTTATCAGATCCTCTCTTTGCACACTTAATTTCCTTTCTCACTTCACTCCTGTACGTGCAGTACTCCACTAAGCTTCTTAATGTATTACATTTTTTGAGGTTGTCATGAACTCTGTTTTTTCTGCTTTATCTTACCCTGTATGGTTCTGGATAACCAGGAAACTCTGGCTGTGACATCAGTACCCATTTTCTTTGTCAGGACATGGGCTGCACTATGCCCAAAGAATCTCATTTTGGAGTGCCTGCTACTGATTTTCTTTCAAGCAGCTGTAACCATGCCACTTTTTGCAAGATTATCTCTCAGATTTGTAATCTTTGCCTTACCCCAGTTTAGAACTTTTTCTCCTGGTCTATTTTTGTCCGTTTCCGTGATGATGCTAAATACAAGTGTGTTCTCTATCTCCAAAATAGTTACCCTCTGTTACTTCACCAACCTGCCCACCTTCATTTCCTAAGATTAAATATAGAATTGCACCCTTTTTCATTAGACTTGGTACATTCAATTGCATATTCTCAGCAAGACAATCTCTTTTCATTGGCCTGAAAAGAACAACAGTTCACATGAATCTTTCTTTCAATTCCTTCACACTCAATTCTGCCCCTGTAACTTACACAGTTAATACTCTGTCACTGTTGATGGTAATCTCCTTTACTCAGATGTCCCTTCTGCCATGCTACAATCTCCTCTACGATCCATGATTTCCCTTGAACTTCACAAGCCTGCCCCTGAGCCCAGAGCCTGCCAGCACCCTTTAGCCTTACACTGCCCCTTCTTCAATTCACATATTCCTTCACTCTCACCAGCACACCTCATTTTCCAGTTGTTTTCCCCATTCTCAATTTGCAGTTCCTGCCTTTTGTGTTGAATGCTCGTGCCAGACATCAGCCAGTGTGACTGCTTCCATTCACTGAATGGAATGAGCAGCCAGTATCCTTACATTGATACAGATTAAACAAAGAAGCAAATTGGTTCTGAAGCATCCGTAACACTGAGAAGTGTGTACTCACCAAAGATTCCTGGCAGAAGTCTACCCTGCCTCACAATGGTCTCAGTCAGGTTTGTGAACACATGTTTTTCTCATTTTTGTCTAACAAGATTGTGCACATGAATGTAATTTCAGCAGACTGGAGTG